ACTGTGTGCAGTCATGTAAGACACAGCAATACCATCGGTACATTAATGATACCTATGAAAAAAAGAGACAGAGGGCGATAAGATACTGAATGACATGACAGACATCATAATGGAATCAGCCTTGCCTCAAGTTTATGTAGTCTTGCGCATTGTTGTTAAAAACATGGGACTGTAATAGTTGTGTAGACAAACTGTCATCTTGGCCACAAACTAAGGACTACATCTACATCTGATTCAATTGCCTTTACAGATACAGGAGGAATCTTTGGTCTTCTTCAACCCATGGTTGTCTTCCTTCTCCAATCAAGACATGTAAGTCTTGATGAAAAAGGAAGTAAGGTCCAGCAGAGGTACAGTTGTGATAGCTGAAGGTAACTTTGTAACAACTTAAATAAATTGGAAAAAATGCAAACAAAATCAATGCAAAATTGGAGCTGAATTTGGAGTTTGATGTTGTGTGACAGAGCGGTTCTTCCTACAGTGTTGTCTAATCAACTTCACAAGTTTTCTAATATATAATATAAAACAGTATCATGTAATAATTTTCATCCAGACATATGCTCTGTCGCACAGAATTTGTTTCAAAATCTATGTACAAACTCACAAATAAACTTGTCAAATTTAATTGTTTTATAGTAAGAATTCATTTGTTAATTGTTGCATATACATGTACATAAAACCACAATTAGAGTATTATAAATACTATAACAAGAATATTCCATTACTTCATTAGGATATTATTTTTCTATAACTATCCGCTATCCCTTCCCCAAGAAACATAAGCATTTGCATTAACAGTTATGATAATTAATAGTCTTTAAATTATAATTACATTAACACATTTACTATCCATTTATAACAAGCATATATATAACATATCGATACATATACTGGTGGAGGTATCTGTGAGTATGTACATGCGTTGCGCAGATTATTTCATTTCGGCAGCAAACGCTGATTGATTGACATGGAGTGGTTGACTTCCTTCTCCACTCATTTCACTGAATCTTAAAAAGGAAGACGGCATTGTCTTTTATATGTTAATTTCATTCATTAATGATGACAGTTGTTTTATACTGCTATTATCGGTTGATTATTAATATTATAAATTGCTAATTATAATTATTAGCTTTATTCTTAACATTTCTTCCTGGACTCCACCTTTTTGCTTTTTAATCCAAAACAAATAATTAGTATAATCACTTTGGGGTTTGAATTTAGTAGCGTTAAGAATATTTATAAATGTTTCATTTAAATTCATCCAGTGAAACTAGTTTACCCATTTCTGACATCAGTGTATAGACCCCTTGCATGTGACGTCAAAGGAGCTTAATTTGGAGGACGATACAAACAAAAATCAATTTCATGAGAATAGTCCCCTTCACAGTTCCCTGCGCCATCTTGAAAGGTAGCCGTGCCTTTGCATCAAAGCGAGATGAACGGTGAGCTTGCAATGATAGAGACCTTTTTTAACACCTTGGACAATTATTCAAATATAAATAACTTATCGTTATGTCCAAATTGAGCTGCATTCCAACATACTGCAAGGGGTCTATTGCTGCGTAATCCTATTCATTTTAAAAGTTCATATATAATGTGTATATTTTGAACATGGGTCCCATCCCTTACTGTATATGATTGGTATTCTCAGTGCTTTGCTCAAATTTTGTCTCTACAGAATGTGAATGGAAATGGGATTCAAACCTTTTGCCATCCACTTTCCTGCGACATGAGAGCAGTGAAGTACTCTTTCACCCTGATTACAGTTGTGGCACAGCARCAGCTAAGGGTGAAGAACTGTTACAAAAAGATGCAGAGCACTACTGGGAAGTAAAAATGACCAGTGCCGTCTACGGAACAGATATGGTATGTCAAAGCAGGGAATAGAAATTATAGACTTTCAGTGGTCCAATGACTAGTGGACACTGATTGGTACACTCGGCAGTGGACACTGATTGGTATACACACTGACTGACACTTGACGTTGGTTGATGGACAATTACTGACACCCACCTGACCATGAACTAAGCGACACAGACAATGGACAATGGTTAACGGACATCCACATAACACAGGACACTGACTGACACCAGTGGACTAATCAACATGTCTGACAGTAGACATTGGTTGAATGTTATTGACTGACGCCCACTTAACAGTTGACATTGACAGATACATCTGACGGTGGACATTGGTTGATGGACACTGACTAAAACATCTGACTGTAGACATTGGTTGACAGATACTAATGGACACCCACCTAACAGTGGACACCAACTGGTGTACACTAACTGTTATACACTGACTGATACCCAACTGACATTGACTGCGAACACCTGACGTTAGACAGTGACTGGTGGACAGACACTAAATAAATCCAACAGTAGACAAACACCCAACATATAAGCCATGTGGCACCAAACTTTACATATTTGTACAAGATTGGTTTATCAGAGAAGTATCAGTTTATATTTTTATATAACAATGCGAGCGGATGGTTGGATATAATTATATGATATCTTTTATCAGAACCTTGGCTGCTAGAAATTCTAGTCACAGACCTTTTCTGAATTGGTTTATGAGTGATCACAATTTAGCAATAGTTCCAAGTCAAGGTTAGACTTGATAAAATACTATTAATAATAAAAGGGAAAAAGCAAGAGATCTTGGAGAAAAAACCCTCAAAGCACCGAAGAGAGTCAACAAGCAACTCTACTTAGGCTCAGTTCAGACATCGATCTTTTGCCTTGTTGAATTTAATTAAAATTGAAGTTGACTCAAATTTTGTCGGTCGCAATTGACAAAAACCAAAAAACCAAAAGCCGCTGAAGTCTTGAGTCTTTTTAATTTATGCATTAGATTTGACTCGACAAAAGATAGACGTTTAAATCAAACGCTGGTCTTTTGCCGTTTCGCACGACTCGATCAGTCGACTTTAATTCTTTGCCGACCTTAATTAAATCTGTCGATCTCAATTGATTTAAACGTTGCTCTTCTCATGCACTAAATGTAAATAATTAGATTCGACACGGCAAAAGATCGACGTCTGACACAGGCCTAACTTACAACGCCAAGTCCAGGAATTGAACCAGGGTCACCTTGGTGAGAGGCGAGCACTTTCACCAGTCAGTATGCTACCTGTTCTTTTCATGCATAAACATATGATGGTCACTCTAGCAAACTCAGGAAAGGTCTATTTTTGGATACTATTTCTTATAAATAAGTTATTGTGCTTTTGAGCTGCCAATATGGGTTTATATTGACATCTAGTTTGGATATATTTTATTCCAGTGCCTTCAGTATAAACCTGTATTGGTGACTCAAAAATTATTGAAATGAGTTTTGTAAAGCATAAAGATTTTAACATGAGGTAATCCTGAGCCGACAATATGGGTTTATATTCATTTATATCGGCAGCTCTCCTGTGACCAAGCTTATAGGAGAATCACAATACTTAAATTGAGTGAGCAGTAGATATAACGGTAGCAAAAGAGTTCTGTGATTTTTATAATTTATTTTTCTCTTCTTGTAGATGATTGGTGTTGGTACAAGACAAGCTGACCTGATGAAGTATCGAACATCATTCTGTAGTATCCTCGGAAGAGATAGTGAGAGTTGGGGACTGTCATATTTTGGTACGATGCACCACGATGGAAAAGGCAGAGAATACACTACAAAGTTTGACCAGGGAACTACAATCGGCATTCACTTGGATACCTGGACTGGACAACTTGCTTTTTTGAAAGATGGCAAGCATCTGGGCGTGGCTGCTAAGGGGTTAAGAGGGAAAGATCTCTACCCAATGGTATCATCGACAGCTGCAAGAACAAAAATGAGGCTTATGCGTAGCACTTCTGTTGGCTTCTCTCTCCAGTACTTATGTTGTGCCAAGATTGGAAAATTATTATCCAATCCTAGTGACATTAAAGCCCTACCCCTACCCCCAGGGGTGAAGCATTTTCTCATGAGAGAACTGGATTGGATCTTCAAAGTACATGCTAAGCCAAGGCAAGATACAGTTAAAGAAGCAAAAAGAAAGCAAAGATGCTGAAAATATGCACATATAGCAAAGTCTTTAATTTAAAAGATCCATATAATTATTACAGTTATTTGCCAARGGAAAAGTGACAATTGGTAAGTTTTTACCAAGCTGTGTGTCTACCAATAATCACTGTGAGTGCCTCTGGGGAATACATGTTTTAGTACCATTACAAAGGTGATTATCTGAAAGAAAATAGACTGCTTCATTTCTACATTTTTTTATTTATCTTGCATTTTGAAGGTGGCATGTATCAACAAGTGGTACTACTACTTCTACTAATGGTGTGTGCAATTCGATATTCACCTGTAGGTGATTATCAAGAAATATTTAGAAGTTCTAGACCAATCAGAGAGCACTATTTTCTATAATCACCTGGGTAATTATCCTGATTAATACTTCATATTTGATCCACTGCAGGTCTGATTTCATTTTTTCCAAGCGTAATCAAAATAATCTTTTTATTTGTGATAATGRTATACAGAAAAATAATGTGAAGTGGGCCTTATTTATTTTGATATGCAGTTTTATTTCAACATGACAGGGTTGGTTTGRGTTGGGATATTAATAAATTATTACAAATTTAATAACATGCTTAGCAAATATAAAAATATAATTTACGTAACGAAAAACCAGAATGATGCTGGAAATGGTTTTTCAAATTATTTGAAAAATGGCAATTTTTTTTAGAAAGTGCTTTATTTATAAGAATATGTTGGTAGGATGTTTGTTTGTTTAGATGTTTGAGTAGTTTTCCCCTTGTGTTTTAACTCATTTTAGCCATTCCTTGTCTAACCTGTCTTATAGTACACTCAACAAAATTCCTCAACTCTGATTGGTCGAGAGGAGTACAATTATAGCGTTAATTGTACTCTGTAGGAGTACCGAATTAAGTCGCTATGGCAACACGGCCAAAACAATGTCAACAATTATTTTCTATTATTTTGTACTTAAAAAACATATAAATAAAATTATAAAGCTGTCTTTTTTTATGCATTTCAGTTGCGCAATGGACTGAAAATCAGCCACCAAATAGACAAAGATGAACGCCGTCGCTTCACATTTTTTACTGAAATTTTGTTGAGTGAACTATAAACAAAAAATCGCACAATCTTCTCGTAAAAGGCTTGTGCAATTACAAGAACTTTCAAACCATTACTTGTGTCTATTAATTTCCAAATTGTACTCGAGATCGTGCGATTTCCTATACAAATAGTATATGAACATATTCTATTTTTATCATAAATAATTTGAATTTAAAATCCAATGAATTACATAAACGACATAAATTTTGACTATTCAACTTTTTTGTACCATGGGAGAATTTTGCTGAATTTTGTTGAAATGCAATAATTTATTACTGTATAGGATTTTATGAAGTAACAATACAATAGTTCTGTGTTGACGTAGAGCTTGGGTATTTTGATATGCTTGTCAGCGCAGCTAACCTTGAGTGTAAAAGCTCATTGGTTTTCATTTTTATTGCCAGGCTGCTCCATTGTTGTTCCTTGACTTTATAAAATATTGTTTTAAATCTCTCATTCTGGGTAAGATGTAATAGCGCAGCGCAACCATGACGTCATAAAAATAATTTTCACAGCYGATCGCAGTTGATCTTAGTTTACATGGGTTATTGTAACTTTAAGTAAAAATAATCGGTTTGTATAATCCTTTAGCGGTTAAACATAATGCAATGTTTGTCCRAATCTTTAAGCTATTTTTAGAATCAGTGCGCTGMGCTATTGATAGCCTCCTATACAGATGTTTTTAGGGTTGTCACGTAAGAGAACTATTGCTAATGATGTTATGACCCTAAGGTTGTCTGTGGCAGGCTACATAAGTAGTTGAGTTAGATGTGGATGCTGTTTGGTTTGAAAATTGAAGAAGTATAAAGATTTCTAACTGAATTATAGGAAAAATCAAATGAAGCATAAGCTTGTACAATATTATAACTATACGAGAGGAAAGAAGATTATGTACAATTTATATAATAATGAAAACTTTATAAATATTTGATATTCTAGTAAGCAGTGAATTAAATAATTGTTGGATTATTATTATTATTCTGGTCATAGTGTTGCTGATTCAAAGTGCTTTATCAATGTATGTAAATTATAGAATATTGAGATATTTATTAAATACACTGATATTAATTTTAAATGAATAAATCTCATTTTGCTAAAAGTTTTGATATTGTTTAATGCAGATTATCTGTATTTGTACAGGGGGTTGTGAGAGGAGTTTGCAGTACCCTTTTTCTCGTTTGTTTGTTTGGTGTGTACATCAATGTTAATTGAAGTATTATGATCATCCGGGTGGATGTAGTCCTGAGAAGGACTGTTTGATGTGACTGATGTTTCAACAACATGAGCGGAAGTCATCTTCAGATGGATGATCATAATACTTCAATTAACATTCATTGGGGGTTCAGACTGGGGGTTCACCTGGGTTCAGACTGTTCTATACATTAGTGTACATCAATCTTGTACCCAGAGTCTTCCAATGTCTTCTGGCTTTATTTTTGGTGCCAACCTGCTGACCAAAAAGCTAGAGGGCTCTGGGCTCAAGATCTTGTAGATTAGACYGAGGGAGACTGAAAATTAGTTCTCTCCAAGCCCTCCCCTGCCCGAGTACCAAGGAGAGTGGATTTTATTATGGAATCTTATTGGAAACCTATAAAAATATTGCAACATGTGTCATAAAACATTACAATATTTAATATTTCAATTCTTAATAAAACACCAATACATCAAAGTCAGTAACTGGAATATACAACAGACGGCTGATGAACATAGATATCAAGGTGAGTCTGGGTAGACAGGTTCATCATTATTTAGTGCTCCACCATTGGTCTCTTGTAGTTGAGGATCTAAATAATGTGCAATAAAGAATGAAATGAGTTTGGTCTCTACCACAGGGAACCAATTTAGTAACATTCAAATAAAAAAAAACGTCCTTTTTTCACGAGGGTAGTACTAAATAGCCAGTGGCTAACAAACCTGTGGCCCTCATTCTGTGATCGAATTGGAATTTAGGAGTTAATYTTTGYAGAGGGAGGTACATGTAAACCGGAGAACCCAGAGAGAAACCCTTGAAGCACAGGAGAGAACCAACAAACAACTCTACTCACATACTACACAAGAGAGAACCAACAAACAACTC